TGTATATGTGTGTGTATATATCTATGAGTCCCTATAAATCCTGCAGAATCCTTTCAAATGCAGGTGGCGAAAGCCAACTCTGGCGCCAAGATGAGGCAGGGAACTGGCAGTATCCCCAGAGGGCGGATGAACTGCGGTCATTGCCCCTAAACCCCACGCCCTAAACCCTACAACCGAAACCCTTGACCCTAAACCCCTAAGCCTTTGAATCGCGAGGAGCACAGAGACTTCGAAAAAGTGGCCCCAAACCCCTAAACCCTAAACCCCGGGCTTTAGGAGTCCTCCTGCGGACTGCATAGGAATTCTTCAGAGAAATCTGAACAAGAGGATTTTGGCAGCCCCAATCTAAGTTAGGACTCTGTAATGGTAACATGCGAGGTATAGGAGCTGAATTGGGTTTAGGGTTTAGGGTTTAAGGTGCGTTGGGGTTGCACAAATGCTCTTATTGACTCTTGCTCGAGGCACGAAGTCCAAGAAGACTTCCCCAAAGAGTCTGAGGACATGCTTCGGCAGACCTTCAATGCCTGTTCGCGCGATTAAGTGCGGTGCTTTAGATCGTGCCTGAATACTAAACCCTAAACCTTATATCCCATTATAGTAGTTTCCATTTTCTTTTCCATTCTCCTATACAACCCCAATATGACCTTGATCCTACCCCATTGGATACCTATATCCCCTCATGATGCTCCCAGGACGAGCTAATGATGGCGGGCCCCAACACGTCTGACATGGGTGAGCCGCAACAGGACATCAAAGAGCATTGGCCCTAGCAAGTTCACCAAACTTACTGGTGGTTACTTGGAGGGTCAGGGGGACTCCGTAAATGGGTTAATGTTGGGGATAATTAGGGTTACTATATGGGTATAGGGGTTTTTAACCCACTTACTAATTCTCCTTGACTCTCCAAGTACTGGTGGTTAGTAGGGAGTCAGGGAATGATCCCTATATAACCCTATAGAATCCCCATATGAGATGTTCGCTTATTTCCTACTAAGCCCGAGTGAGCAAAAAGGAAACAATCGCAACTCACAGTGTTCTCCAGTCTGGATGCCTTGAATGACGCGCTGAAAGACGACATGCCGCCGATGGACCCGAGTCTCAGCGGTGTGATGATTCATGTACTCACTGGTGGTTAGCAGGAATATGGGAATACAACCCCCCATATTATCCCTACATATTATACTCCCTTATTCCCTAATGACCACCATGGAGTTTATTATGTATGTGCATGTGCAGATCGGCATTCTGTGTCAGCCGCAGGGTATCAGTTGCGCCTATCCGCAGTTCAGCTCAAAGAGGGGCGGTGTTTGTCCATTCCGTGTTTGCGTATGACTGCAACATTCACAGGCGGGATGCTGGTGGGGTTTCATCCTCTCACCATAATATTCAACCCCCCCCCACCCCCCCAACATAAAATACCTCTCAATTGTGTTTTTTTTAGATCAATTGGGAGTATCTAATATTAGGGGGGTGGGGCGGTTTATATTGGGGGAGCCCTAAACCCTAAACCCTAAACTTAGCCAAGGGTTGTGACCTCCGTTGTCCGTGTAGCAGTGCCGGGGATATTCCTGGGAACATGCTTTGCATATTGGACCATAGTCTCCTTTCTGCCTTGTAAAGCCATAACAGATCCAACCCTAAACCCTAAACTTTAGGGTGTAGGGTTTTTAGGTATTAGGGTTCAGGGTTTAGGACCCTAAATCTATCCCAGTTCTGCTTTTTGTCTGCTGCTCAGATCTGTGGCGTCGATGAGGGGGCAGGCCATTGCCCGTTTGGTGATCTGGTGAATCTCAAATGGAGGGTTTAGGGGTTAGGGTTTTAGGGTTCGGGATTTAGAGTCATGAGACGGAAGCTACTATGGGATCAAGGGTTTAGGGTTTAGGAGTAGTGGAGAACCAAATGGAGGAGAGCATGGGAACTAAATCACAATTACCATTTTGGTTTTAGGGTGTATGGTGGGGGGGGGGGGGTCTTAATAATCGGAGTGAAGGAACATCAAATAGAAGAGAACCAAAAACCTTCGAAACCAGGGTTACAAAAGCGTACATACCATTGGCGCCAATCCTTCATGATCATAGCAGTTTAGGGTTTAGAGTTTAGGGTTTTGGGGTACTAAGGACCAAATAGGACTTTCAGTATCAAGCCTAAACGTTAAACATTGAAACCCAAAAAATCCAAAGCCCGAAATCTTAGACTTACAATCCTATCATAGCACCCCATCTTAACCTAAAATCCCACCCCAAAAACCTTAAATGCCAAACCCCAAATCCCCCAAGCAACAAACCCAAATTCCTAAATCTAAAATCCTTTCGAACCCGAACCCTAAATCCTAAGATCAGAAAACACAAGCCCTAATTCCTAACATTCTTCAAAGCCCAAACCAAAGTTCCTAGACCCCAAATCCACGCAAAAAACAAAATCCCCGAACCCAAGTTCCTAAACCTAAAATCCTGAAAGCCCAAACCCTAAACCCTAAACATGAAGCCTTAAGTCCAAAAATCTCAAACTTAAAATCCTGAAAACCAAATCTTTGAATCCCAACCGTAAAGCCTCAACCCTAAACCCTAAAATCCTAAAGCTTGAGCCCTACAAAGCCAGGGCATGTCCGCCATCGTGCTACTCCTGGCCCATGTGCAGGCCGGGAGGCAAGATGCCGCGCTCCCAAAGGGCCCCAGGGGTGCTACTGAGGAGCATGAAAATGATTATACCATCTTGGAAACTATACTTTTCTAGTGGGGAGTACAGGTTCAGGGTTTAGAGTGTAGGGTTGACGGTTCAGGGTTTGAGGGTTAGTGGTTAAGGGTTTAGGGCCATTATTCCGGTAATGGAGAATCAAATGGAAAAGGACATGGAACCTGGGTGGTTTCTGGGGTTGTAGGAAGGGAGCAACCAAGTTGTATCCAGGTACTATCCTATAGTCTATTGTGATTGCTCATTATAAAAGATTGTACTAGTATTTGCCTGTATACCTACCTAACTTATGGATGAAATCCTACAATGGCCGGCCCCACATAATGCAAGCCCGATATTCGATAAGCTTATTACAGGGGCCTCCAAAAATGCATCCCTCATTTTCAGAAACCCTAAACCCTAAAACACTTAACCCCTAAACCCTTAAACCCCTAAACCCCTAGGCCCCTAGACCGTAAACCACATCAGCATGGTGCAGAATTTGAAGGCGAGGCCAGTGTTTGCAGAAGTATTTCTTAAAACACTCCCTACACAATAATGAGCCCCATAATGCCTACATAGTCCTGATGGATGATCATGGAGTCCTTAAGGGACCCCCTTTGTGAGAGACTCCCACCCTGAGCCCTAAACCTTCAAGCCTACGCCCTGAACCCTAAACCCCTAAA